GATCTGCTGTGAAGTCTGGGGAAGGGTACGGAGTGTGTTGTGGGAGAGAGGGAATGGGATCTGCTGCAGCAGAGCCCATGGGGGTCATATGCAGCATGTGCCATGTGGGAGCATGGGAGGCAGCTGGGGTGGAACAGGATGGTTCAGAGAAGTGAACACCTTTTGCAGTGCTACTGCATGTTGATTTGAGGATTGCACAGAATCAGAATACTACCATATTATTATTATGTCATCCCTTAATATTTGCATTATATATTTAGCTGTAATTGGTTCGAAGCAGGAATTTCTTACATTTTGTCCTTCACATGCCAGGTGAATGTTTCTGGAAGGCAGATACAATAAAATAAATACCAACAAAACTGTCAGAGTGGGTTTTTTTTTTAAGAAGTACTAAAGCTTTTTTTTGGGGGGGGAGGTTGGTTTTTTTGGGGGGGAGCGGGGGTTGGGTTTTTTCTCTGGAAAGTGAGGGGTTATTTAGTGCCTCTCAACACATATTAAATGAAAATGTCACGTAACTTTACATGATTTGATTTGTTTGCTTTACAGGGAATCTTTTCCAAATGACCTCCAGTTCAGTATTTTGATGAGATTTACTGTTGACCAGACCCAAACACCTAGCCTGAAGGTAAGCATTTCCAGGCTCGCATTGCAAGCAGAAATCTTCGCTGAGAGACATTTGCTTGTCTTACTATTTTAATTTGGATTGTGATTCTTGTTTTGTTAAAAAATAAAGGTTTTCAATTAGTGGATTTTGTTTTTGTAAACTTTCAGACAGTGAAGCCAGCACTGCAGGACCAGCTTCGCTCTTTTTGGAGCTCAAAGGTTTTTGTCTGAATTATTGTCTTTATTCTTAACCCTTTGTCAAGCTCTTACAGTGTTTCCAATAATATTATTCGAATGCATTCATATGCTGCTACTAACCTTTCCAAGAAACTTGAAGCATGCAGTTGTTCAATCTTAAACATGGCACTGGTATGAAAACGTTGGCTGCAAGAGAGAGCTAATAAACCCACAGAACAGTAGAAATGAGCAACAAAAGCGTGGCCGCCTAACATCGAGCTGGTTATGCAAACTCACTCTGTCAAGTCTCTTCTAATTTTATGTTTGTGATTTCCCAGTCCTGTTTTCCTAGGGTTTTTTTTCTCATGTGCACAGCCTGATAGGTCTTGAATGAATTTAAATTATTTTAATATCAATATGAACTGCAGTTCCTCTATTAAAAATCAGCTCCCTTTGTGGTACACTTCGTTTCCTGAAAGCAGTGTGTAGTTTTATAATTACACACAGTTTTACATAGGAATCTCTCATCTGGAGACCTGCCAGCATAACTGAAAATGAAAAATGTATTCTGCAGTACATTTACAGTGCCAAAGAGAGTTGATTTTAGGATTAATGCATCAAATCCTAAGAAGATTTACAAGTGTTTCAAATGGGGAAATAACAAGCATATGATAACTGGCATTTTCTGCTCTATCCTGCACGAAATATTTTTACATGGTTTGATACTGCACAAGAATATGACTTTTCCCAAGTTACGTTGAACTTAAAGTCACATGAATATGCCTTTTTTTGTCTACAATACAGTAAAACTTACATTTTTAAGCTTTTGAGGACAGTTGATACGTTGACCACTGTTGCTTCGTGTGTTAAAAAGGGACTGCTGTCATTTATTGAAGACAGCAAATGAGGTAGTAAAAATCAGTTTGTTGTTTAAATAAATCCTTGGAAAAAATTTGGTTTGGTTTTGTTTCACTTGTTTTTCCTCCCCAGGAAGGTGAATTTGATGGTTGAGATGCTCTTTTTTCCATGCAGTAGTACAGCTGGTAAACACATATCAGTCAGGTTTCAAAGCCTGAGAGTATAGATTTGGAATGAGATACAGACTCCTGCTAGGCTGAGTTGGGGCTAAGTTCAAGCATATTTACTATGTGACCTAGAAGGAATTAAGAAATACGAAACAACTTAATGGGAAGGACATTCTGTAAGTAATTTCCAGTATTTGAGAGAGTTTGAACTGGAGACATCAGTAAAAACTGCATCCATGGGTGAGCACCTGTTAGCTTCAAATAAAGTCAAGAGTATTTAAAATGGATTTTGGGGACAGTAAAATATGTAACTGTGTAAGTGAAGGTAATTTCTTTTCAGAAGAAAGTGATAACTACCCCACACTCTCATCTTTATGAGATAACTACAACTTCAGGATGCAGACAGTAAAGTTATTGAATATCACTTGCAGAAGTACCTATTTAATATCAACATTCTTGAATATTTTATCTAAACGCCATCCTCAGTGCACCCAGGTTGCTGGCAGATTAATTGATAATCCCAGGGCTGCTCCGTTTCTTCAAGTCTTCAGCTTTTGTTCTTACTCTGATAAAGGATTATTTTGTTGCAGACTGTGCCTTTGGGCTAGATACTGACAGGAAAAAACAGAGAAAGGATTTTCGGCATCCTTAAAGGTGGTCAGATATAAGGAAGGATGATAGATAAGAAATTGGCTCCATAGGGGGATTCCCTTCTACAAATGACTTTTCCCTCTGTTTTTTACGTGGTACTAGTAAATAATCATGATTCTTTAAACTGTCATGGTCATTCTTACAAACACAGCTGAGTCCTGGACAGTAGAAGTCAAGTTTCTAGGGTGGCTGCAGAGGTGGATTTGGATAGCTAGGGCCAAACATAGGAAAGATACAACTCTACTAACCTAATCCATGGTGGATGCAGCATAGTGTGTTGTGCTCTATCCATCTTCCTTTCGCTGTGCTGTTACATGTAAATGTGGAGAACTGCTGAAACACCGTTAGAGGTGCCAGATGCATGGATCTGTTTTGGTCAAATGTAAGGATGGGCACAGGAGTCAAATTTTCTGGATGGGATATAATCTACTAAGCTTATTTTTGCAGGTGCGGAACATTTGCTTCCCAAGGGACCAGGGTTGTCCTGAAATACCCTTCAAACCATCACTTTCATGTTTCTCAGGTTGAATATCAAATGGTTCACACTCGGTGAGGGCTTGATTCAAGCATTGTGACTGAAGTTCATTAGCGGTTTCTGAACCCTTCTGTCCTTTGAGAATGGTGACTGGTTGGCAAAGGGTTTTGCCGCAGCTGATCAGATACTCAGTGTAAGAATACCTGGAACTGCTTTCACTGCAGTCAGAAATCTGCTCTCCCAGAGAGATGAAGTAGATTGTTGAAGAGGACTTAGATCTTAGGCCTCTAGTCCCTAGTTAGAGCTTTTATTCCTAAATCTCAACTTCGTACGTACTTACTGGAAATAGTGACAAAAATACATTATAAGTAGATTTGCTGCTATTCTGGAGTTTACTTCAGGGTGGGGTTTTTATCTGTAATGATCCCATCTCGTTACATTTGAGCTTAGAAAGGTACCCTTCAAAAGCAACCAGTGAAAACCACTCTTACCCAAAGTTTGACAGCAGTTTTGAGTCTGTCTTCCATCTCTCCAGAAGAGTGTGCAGTTTACTCTGGAAGTAGTTAAATAGTACTGCTCTCAGACAGGGTGCTCCTGAGTTTGTTCTCTGGGAGAAATGTCTCCGTGTGTTCTAAGTGCTACAGCTCTTAGCAGCAGTTTTTTAGTAAGGTGAGATATATTACTGTAAATCATGCACAGTGAAACATAGTGCTGTTGTTTCACTTGGTAATCTAGAAATTGTAACTGTTCCTTCCTACCTGGAAAACCATGTGCCCTAAGGGGTTTTGCTGTGGAGATGTCTGGTGTTTTGGGGTTTTTTGCTTTGGTAAGATCTAACAGATAGTGTGGGTTTTCCTGCATTTGCTAATGTTGATCTGCATAAGATGAAAGCCTCCAGCTGCTGGTTGTTGTGTAACTTTGGAGAAGTCAATCTTCAACAGCTGCTGTGAAAGTGAAGCATTCATTATTGATCTACATGTATCAGCTGTCCTTACTAACGCATATGTCAGTGTATCTTGAGTTTTCAATAGCTTGCAAGTTCCCATGACCAAAGGAAATTACTAAATAGCTTTGCTCAGGACAGTTGTACTGCAAGCCATGAACAATGAAAACACTCCCAGAACTCTCTTTCTGGTTATGATGGACGTAGGTGTCTCCATCCTGGTAGGTATTGCTGGTTCACTGTAATTATTAGTGGAAATAAAAGTAGCTCATTCAAATAGATGGCTTAAAGAAACACTCACCACTTGTGTTGATGGGTTGTGTGACAAACCTCTGGGGCAGCCGGAGCTGAGGAGATGAGTATTTAAGGGAGATACAGGTTTAACAGCCCTTTGCCCAAAGTTGTGCAGTGGTGCAGTTTTTGAGAAGCTAGAGAGAGGCTGCAGCAAAACAGAGTGAGTGGAGTAGGAGAATGATGCTCAGGTAAAAGAGGGAGTGAGGCAGATTTTCTGTCCTCCTGGTAAATTCATGTCTCCATCTTCCAAACATCATCAAAGGAAGAGTGCGTGTGACCCCTCGTAAGTCTTCTATAGAAATTCTATTCCATACTTTTTTACTTTTTTTTTATGGAATTTAATGGGAAGATTAATGTGGCTCATCCCCAAGGGTGGCTACTGCTCAGATCTGGTGTTTGAGAAAAGAATGCCGAAATTGCATAGTAGGAACTAACAGGAACTGAGTATTGGTGCATCAGATGTTCATTTTTCATTTTAGTACTTGTAAAATGTTCTTAACAATTCTGAATGGTTCTTTAGAGTCTTGATTATTCTTAAATATTCTGAGTACTTTGGTTTTCTTCTTGTTAAATATAAGCTTCTGCATATGCAGTGATCTGTGTATCTTTTAATTGCTACCAATGAAATCTAAAGTTTTTATTAATATTTGAATTTCTGTGGAATAATTCCCTTCTTGAAATGTTATATCCATTTGTAAATTGATTTATGTATAGAGGTTTATATCAATGCTGAAAAGATGTTTACTTTACTTGGGAGAAAAAGATAATCTGTATTTTAGGGAATGAACACTCTGTGAGCACACTTGTTCTTGCAGCCCACCATTTTCATTGTCCACCTGACTCTCTTTTCTCTTTGCAGGTCAAAGTTGCAATCCTTAAATACATAGAGACTCTTGCACAACAGATGGATCCAGGAGATTTTGTAAACTCAAGTGAAACTAGGTTAGCAGTGTCTCGAATCATCACCTGGACCACAGAACCTAAAAGCTCAGATGTTAGGAAGGTATGTTTGTTAGTGTGTACTTAGAATTGCAGTGCATTCCAGTGTGTTGGCTAGTTAGAGAAGCCAATATTTCTTGCCTAAAATAACAAACAAATTTCTTTCAAAACAAACTTATTTTTTCATAGAGAAAAGAGACTTTTATATCCTTCTCAGCATGAAGTACTGGAAGTGCCAAAGTAAAACTTTGAGAAAACTTGTGCATTTAAGAATTCAAGTAAAAATTTGAAATGAACACATCTTGAAACTCCATTAGAGTTGTACTTTCATGTATGTTAAAAAGTTTAGGTTATCTTTCAGAATACAAGGAATCACTGTTTCAAGCACCTACCGGGTATTAAAATCACCTCAATGGGCATTTCCTTTGCAGTTTTAACATTACATCAGAGACCACCCTCTGATACTGCCTGCATGTTCCTAACAGGAGCAGTAGGTTTGGTAGCAAACTGGGTTCAATCCCAGTTGGATTTTCTCAGATCCTTTGTGCTTTGGTAAGGCCATATCAAAGGTTTGTTCTTTCAGTGTTGCAGTTCCAGTGCAAAACTCTTTTTTCCACATGATTGTTGTGCAGTGAAAATCAGTATTTGTGAGCTACACACTATACCAGGGGTATGAGTAATAAAGGAAATGTACTGATGAAGTCTTGGAAAGAGTTTCTGAATAGTCCTTCCAGTTACAGAAAGCAAAAACCTTTGAATATTGTTTGCAGTTTGGTGGGAGTTCAGTTGTCCTGACTGATTTTCACCAGCCGTTCTGTTCTGTCTTAGCTTCCATTACCAGCATGCTGACACTTTTCGAGTGCTAAATAAACATGTTTACTTCATGGCTCACAAGTGCAAGCATCTTTGGCCAGAGAACTAACTCTTCCGTTTGTTTTTCTCTGTTCATTTCTGCAGTTTGAAGAGTTGAAACAATTCATTTGTTTAGATTTCCTTTGCTGTTTTCAATAACCTTGAGTTTTCTCATCTTTATCATTTCTGGAAACAGTACCAAAACTTACCTTGTGTAAGAGAGATGTTTTGTAGGAGAGAATAGAGAGAAAAGAGTGGGAGCTGTCTCACAAAGTGTGTAATGTGAATAGAACAAAAATTAAAATAGCTTCCACACCTTCTTGATACCTGTAATATGTAATAAAATACCTATAGGAGAGTTTATGTTGGAGGTAATGTTTCTGTCTTTCTCTTTTTATATAACTTCATGAGTATGAGAAAGCAGCAATAGATTATATTCTGTTGACTTCTTTGCCTAGTACCATATTCTGGTGATTTATCTAAGGCCATAAAACAGGCAGAGAATGAAGCAGCACTATCTTCTGAATCAGTGACGTTTTAGTACCCAGACACGTGGCAGGCAGTCTTATCTGATGGTTCATATCTCTAATAAGCATTTTTATGTCAGTAAGTAACTGAATCGTGGAAAGAATTGCTGGTGGGTTTAATCATCTGGAACATTGTAATTATATGAAGTTCTCTCATTTTATTTTTTCTTTCCATAACACAACTGTTAGAGGCAACCAGGTGCCAAAAGCCTTCAATAACTCTAGAAAATACAATTTCACCGATAAGGAGTCAGAAGAGTTATTCTGATGGTATAAAATGTTTTGTTCTCTTGGCAAGCTTCAGAGCCTGCTATTACAGGCTTTATAATTTATTTTAACAAGCTTACAGCATTTAGTATGATTTTTCAAATCGAAAGGTTTTGCCAAGTGTACTTGTGTGTAATCGATGGGTTGGGGTGGGTTGGTTTTGTTTTGGTTAGTGTCAAAACATTACCATTATTCAGCATTAGGAGAAATCCTTTCTTACTTTACATGTGTGCAGTCGGGCAGTCATTGCAGTTCAGTGACATGGGACTTCTTGCTGGAAGGTCAAATTCTGTGTTTCAGAATGTCCAATTCTAAAATTAGAATTCTTCTGGCAAGAACTAGAATCTTCTGGAGTAGTTCTAAGAACAAAACGGACAAAAAAATCTTTCTAATCCTCATCGCAGACTTTCAGAGATGTTTTCTGTATGACTGGGCATGAATCTCAGGAGAGAGCTTATGCTGAGGAGAAGAAAATCTTCTAAATACTCTAAAATGCCTTCTTTTTTCTCCCAAGGAAGAGAGAGAGAAAATTGGTAATGGCAAAGTTGGGAATCTTCTGTGGGTCAATACCAATTTGGAAAATTCAGGTTTAGCTTTGTTTTGGGCAGACTTGATGGTATCAAGTTTCTTTCTTAACATGACCCTGGACTGTCTTTTATATTATTTCATTGGCAGCTTAAATAGACAGTGTGACAGAGCAGAGACATGGATAATGGGACAGAAAAAGGAAAGTGCTAATTTCCAAGCCTTTGCTCAGTTGCTGGATTTGTTTTGGGTTTGCTTTGTATCGATTTCTGTTAAATGACTGACCATAAGAATAACAAGGAAAGGAAAAACGTTAACGACAGATTGTAGAGGGCATTCAGGGTGTTCACTTGAAGGGAAGGCTGTCAGAGGGAGCAGGGAATAAAAATGAAAAGGAACAGCCAGTCACGAGCATGCAAAGATAATTCATGGCAATCTAACATTCTAGTATACTTGCCATTAACACTGGGATGTGTGTTGGTATGTGTGCTCAGACCTTGGCTTTCCACTTTTAATTAAAAAACGCTACAGTTCATTGCTCTGGAAGCAAAACAAGGGAAATAAATGTCTGGAAGAATTTTCTAAACTGCTTGCTTGAAGTATATTGCTGCTTGAGCGAGCTGCCTACCACTCTGTCTAGCATGAGGCACTGGTTCTCTCCAGTGCATGGCAAAGCTTGGTGGGGAGCTGTATAAACTAGACAGAGTAGGTTGATCTTAGAATCAGAGTTTTGCACTACAGAGAAACTATTACACAATCCTGCAGAAGTTAATCTCTAGCCCTTCATTGCTTGGGTTAGTTTAGCTGCTGTGTTGCCAGGTTTGTTAGACTACTCAGTGAATATTCATCAAAATGTACAAACATTACTAAGTCAGGCAGTCAACTCCTCTTTACTAGAGGGAACCCAACCATTTTGTAACTTACTGTGCTGCTTTGGCAGTAAGGAACTCTGGTGGTTTTGATTCAGATTTAAAAAGAAATAAATAGTAAACCATGCTGCAGGATGAGGATGACATTACATTAGAACTTTAAAATTGAGGGTGTGGGAGGTGACATCCAGTAGACCACAAGCACCAATATTTAGCAGTTTTCATCTTTGGACTGTAGTCAGCAAAGTTATTCCTGGTCATGTTTGCCTGTCTTTTAACAAGAGAAAGAAAGTGGGGCAGGGAGGAGGGGAAGGTTAATAAACTGGTTTGGCTGTAGGATCAGTTATAAAGAACATCAAGTGCCACGATCACAACTCAGAATCAAGACTGTCTTGTTCCAAATTAGGGTATCTGTTTGTGGGTGGGTTTTTGTTCTTGTCCATTCTTCTAATTTCTAAAGTGAGAACTTTTCCTTTTCTAGCCAGTGTGTTGATTACCCATTATCTGTAATTACCACTTGCAGAACACAGGAAAAAGCATTGCAGGCTTGTTCCTGCCTGGTGTGTTCCATAATTCTCTTCAAATTTGTTCAACTTACCAAACCCTTTAAAAGCCATTTTTGGGAATTCCTTCAGTACTTTTCTTAGCAAGTGGGGATTAGGGCTGGGAGGAGTGTGTGTGTGTTGAGGGGCACATTTCTGAAACACTACTTGTCAAAATGATTGTGCAAGCTTCTTGTTGTGTGCCTGGATTTATCAATATCTGAACCTCCAGCTTACCAGCAAATAGGAGTTGCTTTTGTTCACATCTGTTGACATCTTGGATCAAGACTTAAGTCACGTTTTGTGATTACCACTCGCTAAAGTATCTCTTACTGATAAAATTACTTTAGAAACTGAAATTGATGTCTTCATATGTGTTTTCTTCTTCTAGGCTGCACAGTCAGTGCTGATTTCTCTTTTTGAACTCAACACTCCAGAGTTTACAATGCTGTTGGGTGCTTTACCAAAAACATTTCAGGATGGAGCCACAAAGCTTCTCCATAATCATCTCCGGAATACAGGCAACAGTGGTCAGGTATCAACAGCCCTCTTCCTTCTAAAGTTACTAGTGTTTTGAATGTATGTCCATTTTGGTAGAGTTATTGGTAAGACCAAGAAGGTTTGGTAGAGGAGGAGGAGCAAACCAAATCCTATGTAGAAGTCTGTTTTAGTAGGAGATACCACTCATCATGGAATGCCTTTTCTTTTTCCTCCAGAGAATGATACTTTCTAAGTCTATGTTGCTTCCAGGTGACTTTTAGTAAGTTTGAATGTGCTTTTTTAGAGTAGTTTACCTTTTACTTCATTCATCTCAAAGTTATATCTGATTGAAGTAACTAGTAATTGGTCAGCCAATCCAAGAAATTAAATAGAAGCTCTTTAAATATTTCTGGGCACTAGAAAATAAACACCATAAGTTAAAAGGACAGCTAAAGTCCTAGTGGAGTATCTTCTCTCCCCTCTTCCCTTCCAGGGATCAATGGGAAGTCCTTTAACAAGACCTACTCCACGCTCCCCAGCAAGTTGGTCAAGTCCTCTCACATCCCCAACCAATACATCACAGAACACACTGTCACCAAGGTAACGTAGCCGTGTGGTGCTTTTAGCAGTAAGTCGACTGTGAGAACTGCTGGGTTGTGTTGGTCCTCCTTACTTGGGAACTTTTTTTAGAGAGAATGGTGTAAAAGCCCAGTTATTTCATATCCACAAGAGGAAAACAGAGCAGAAGTAATTTGTTTTTTCAGGCAGATGCTGCTGCATGATGTGTCACTTTGCTGGCTACTCCCAGTGCTTTCTCTAGTGGCAGAATGCTTACTAAGCTGTATCGTAACACAGTTTTGTTATGTGAAGAACCAGATTTCTTTCTTAATATGTTTCAAGAAAAATAATACATTTATTAATATTTCCCGAGTCTCTGTAGTTCTCTGCTAATGTCACTTAAAAACCTAGGGTCACAAAATAAATCCATTTTAACTCCTCTGTCCTCCCCGGTGGCGCACAGTGCATTTGACTATGACACTGAAAACATGAATTCTGAAGATATTTACAGCTCTCTCCGTGGAGTCACTGAAGCCATTCAGAATTTCAGCTTCCGTAGTCAGGAAGATATGAATGAGCCTGTAAAAAGGGATTCCAGAAAAGATGATGGTGACTCGGTGAGTATTTAAACTCATCGTGGTGCCAGCAAACCAAGCCAATGACTGAGTTGTTAGAGATGGTAAAGCATCGTTTTCAGTAGGTTTGTGTGATACAACTTCTGAAATGGAACATTTCTCCTCAGTTACTTCAGAACTTTAGAAAAATTTGTTCCTGGTCTTGAGGCACATTCTGGAAATGTAAATGCTAATTCTGAGTAGCATCAGCTGTTTGTCTACTCAAAATGTAGCCATTTAAAAATAGATTATCTTGCAAAACAGCTGCCGTTCAGGTTTTGGGAAGTCTGCACCTTAATGGATGTTTTTCCAAAGACTTTATTCTGTACAAACTGTGTGGGTGTTCCAGTGCTGTGTGCAGTGTTTCATACTTCTGTTCCTGTGGACTTCAGCTTTCAGATTTGTTGAGCTTGTGAAATATGTATGTGCTTAACATGTTTTTAATTACTTGGCATCAGACTTCTCAGATAAAATGCAGCTGCTGCTCGTTGATGGGTTCTTTTGGACTATGTGCACTTTCCTTTTTATGAAGGAAAGCAAAGTTTAGGGAACTGTTTTTAAGAGTTCTGTTTGATGGTTGGTTTGAAATAAACTTGTAAACTTTTGGAATGTGTAAGTTTTTGCTGCATAGATGAATTAGTCATGTAGTTAACCGAAATCTGTGAGTGTGGTTTTTATATGCTCCCGTGATACTTCTTCCCTGCAGATTTGCAGTGCTTCGGGAATAGCGGGAGGTGGTGTGAGTGACACCGGCCGAACAGCCCTGGATAACAAAACCTCCTTACTCAACACGATGCCTCCCCACTCCTCCCCACGCTCACGAGAGTATAACCCATACAATTATTCGGATGGTATCAGTTCATTTAATAAATCTGCTTTGAAAGAAGCCATGTTTGATGATGATGCAGAGCAGTTTCCTGATGGTAAGCTTCAGACTGCATTCTATGCTAGAATAGAAGGGAAGTGGTGGGATTTTCCATCCTTGAGTTCAGTCTGTGAATTTATGATTAGCAATAAATGTATCACCAGTGCTGCTGCCTTGAGAGGTTTTGACAAATGCTGCATTTCAAATTAGTTTATTTATTAGTAATCCTTTTGAGTGACATTGTTGCATTGCCTGGTATTTGTAGAGATTAAGGGTAGAAATGAGATAAATACTGAACTATATTGTATACTTCTGGTAGCACATCCTGTAGCAGTATTGTCAGTATAAATTTACTTGTCTGGTTGCTTTACGACTGAAATTTAAAGAGGGTGGGGAGGGGAGGGAAGAGTTACAGTAAGGAAGTAAAACTGGATCAAACCAGTTTGGGAACTAGGGGAAAGATGAAGAACTTTGTTAGTAATGTATTTGTATTTGAAACATGGCACTGGCGGTTTTTATTGACTAAACATTCTGTAAAAAGAACACCACAAAACAAGCCAGCTTGTACCAGGAAGGAGGTTAATTCAGCCCATGTGTATCTCAGAACTCAGGCTGTTGGTCTGTAGGCTTCTAGAGCTACTTTCTAATGCTTCTCAGTATATCTTTTGGTAATTTTTTCATCTCAGAACTCAGGCTGTTGGTCTCTAGGCTTCTAGAGCTACTTTCTGATGCTTCTCAGTATATCTTTTGGTAATTTTTTCTCTCTAAATGTTGGGAAGGTTCCAAAGTATCACTGCTGCCACTGCTACTTTAAAAAGTAGTCAGTGCTTTTCATAATTTGGTATTTGTTGTTGTTGATATTGCATATTCAGTTACAGGTGAAAATCAGGTTTTCAGTAAACAAATTTCTTAATAGAAAGGGACAAATGAATTTTCCCCCTTCTGACAGTTTTAATTCTGTCATCCAGCAAAGATGTGTTAAACTGTTTAAAAACAAAGCTGCTTTCTGACATGGTGGTTTCTTCAGCTACTTTCTAAGTTAGCTTTAAGTTTACATTAAACTAAATGTAAAATCAAAGTCAGGTGCATGTCTCTGTTTTCTGTTCAGTGAAGAGGCATGTGGCCAGTCATTCTCTTCTGAAAAAGATTGAGGGGAAAGCAAAGTTTTCCAGATCATAGCAATCATTAAATACCTTTGCCATCCGTGTACAGCGACAGTGCATGATCGAGCCTCTGCATTACAGGGACCCTGTTTTACATGGGATAAGCCTCTTTATACCTTCCAGCAACATATTTCTGGATATTGCATTAAACCAAATGTGATCTGTGCTGCACCAGCATGTCCTGGCTTTGCAGAAACTCCTGCCTGGCTGGAGTGAAGCGTCTCCATCCAGGATTAGTTTGTCCTGCCTCGAGCAGTAGTGCAGTTTAATGGATCTTAACAAAGTACTTGCATTCATTCATGTGCTCACCTTGAGGATTTAGTTACACCACATGTATTCAGTCATTTGCATTTGTTACTTTTAGAATTTCATCAGAATTTCATCAATAGGGGGAATGGTTTTATAATTTTTATATGACCTGATAAATTTGTTATGGAGAATGTATTTCATGTGTTAATAAATAGAATAATTTTAGGAACAACGTAATGCAGGAACATTTACATTATATGCCAATATTTTCAACCATTTCCAGAAAAAAAATGTTTGCTAATTTATCCAGAAGTCTCAGTGCAGAGATGGAAGCTACATGCTTTTCTTTCTAAAAGACTATGTTCCTTCCAGCTCTAACCATTCTGTGATTCTACGGGTCTTGATGGTGGAATAAAGGCAGCACCTTGATACTTCATTTTCATTAAGACCAGTTTTAAGTTTTTTGACTGCTTGCAGATCTCTTCAGTGTTCACAAACGTGGGTTGTGTTACTGATGCATTTTTCCATTTTCATGGAATTCTCCCTAATCAAAACTAAAATTCAGGCCATCTCTTAATGACTGTTGTTGGGAATCTCTGTGGGACTCATGGCCTTGGTTTGCTTCCATTGCAGTGGCTGTGTACCAAGCACTATTTTTGTGTGTGCTTTTTTCCCTAGCTACCGCTGTGGAACCGTGGCTTACAAAAGCCTGAGCAATTCCATGGTACCAACACAGGAAAGACAGATTAATCAGCTTGGATGAGTCGTGTGGGAGAGGTGGCACTTTCCATATAGACCAGGTTTTAGAGGATGTAGAGTACTTGCCACTTGCAGATGTTGCAAGCGTAAGAACTCTTGCAGTAAACTAGTTTACAGGTTTTTTTCGGAGGGGATTTTCTGTTACTGTAAGCTTGTTCAGCACCGAAAAAAGAGTAGCCAAATTGCAACTTTTGCAGTCAAATTTGGGGGCAGAAAAAGTATGCTAGAAAGCCAGATAGCCATCCTAGAAAATACCCTTCAGTTGCACAGCAGGCGCTAATACTTAACTGCAGTGAGTGGAGAACTGTATTTGTGCACTCTATTTTGGCAGAGCCTCCTATGGACCATTCTGACCTGGTTGCAGAGTTACTTAAAGAGTTATCAAACCACAATGAGAGAGTTGAGGAAAGAAAGGCTGCCCTGTACGAGCTCATGAAGTTAACTCAGGAAGAGTCTTTCGGTGTTTGGGATGAGCACTTCAAAACAATTCTGCTTCTGCTGCTTGAAACACTTGGAGATAAGGAGGTACATTCAGATTAATCCAGTTATGAATGTTTACAGAGCACATGGTTTACTGTCAGTATCTTTGAATTTTGTATGTGTTGTCAGAAAGGCACAAATTCCAGTTAGTCTTGAAAAACAAACAACTGTGGAAATACAGTCTGAATGCCCTGACAGTAAAAAGGGCATCAGTAACATTCACCTTCTCAAGTGTTCTTATTTGTCCATTCCCATATAATAGAGTAGATGAAACATTTTTCAGTAAGACTCAAAACTTCTCTGTTTATAGCCCCTGGTGGAGTCTAGAATATCACGTCGTCATGTGTGGCAAAACAGTTAAAAATGTATTTCTAAAATACAATAATGCTCATTGTGAAGAGACCAAGTTCTACATAACTGGATCAAAAAGACACTAATACTTGGTATTGACATAAGTAAAATGTTAAAAAATGTATTTGTATGCTGTGATGCTGTAGGTTTTATCAGCACTTGCGAACAGTAAAGTTGTGTGCAACTTAACTTCTGGGTAGCACAGCTTACTGCATTAGGTAGCAACATTTTTATGATGTGCCACCTGAATTATCTGCAAAAAGAGAAATCCAGAAGAGTGAGAAACTGAAGATTTTTTTCCTAGCTTGATTTGTTAACACTCGGTTCATACTACCTTTAAGCATAAAGCATAATCTGATATTTTTCCATTAGCAAAGACTCTTCAGCTGCTGAATAGGTGTTAAACCGTATGTCTGTTTAAAGATACCTAACTCATTGATTTTGATATTTAGCATGCAATTAGAGCTCTGGCATTGAAAGTTTTAAGAGAAATTCTAAGAAACCAGCCAGCAAGGTTTAAGAATTATGCAGAGCTCACCATCATGAAGACGTTAGAAGCACATAAGGATCCCCATAAGGAGGTGAGTAATCAGTTATTCTATTTGTTTATGACAAATTACTACTAACTGAAACAGCTGCCCCAAAAGTGCTTTGAGAAATTAGCCAGATCTTACCGAGGAAGTAATTTGGGTAATAATCAAGCATTCAGCTGTTACTAGTTAACACAGGTATGCAAGAAAAAAGAGAACTGCTGTTTTATAAGCTCTCAAATGCTTAATAGCAGCCCTAATAACAATTGTCTTGGGTGCTGTAAACAATGATGTGTCATTTTAGCTCTTCAAGGAGTAACTGAAGGGAGTTTTTTCCTTGTATGACATCTTAACCCATATATAGGTGTCCTGGAGCTCTACAACAAGCTTTTGGATTTCATTGAGGTTCATGGTTCAGAGACGCATTGAACGCGGCAAGGAATTGTCAACCCTTTCCATTTTCAGACAGCACAGGAGTGTATCAAAGGGAGGAGTTGGCGGTGGCCAAGAATAGTGAGGGGATTCAGAAGTAGAAGGATAACTGGAATCTTGCTCAGAAGTCTTTATGATGCATGCATACACAATAAAGGATAATGCTTGTAGATACAAGAAGCATAAGTGCAGTGCCCACCCCAGTATTCAACAATTCCCGTCAGTATCACTGATGCTGTGGAAAGAATCCAGGTATATTACCAAATGATCACATCTTCTCCTGCTCTCCCCAGGCACGAGCACTTACTCTATGCTGAACTTATGTGAAGTTCTAAGTTTTGAAGTGCCTCCCATACCAATGACTTCTGTCATTCATCTGAAACTCACTCCTCTTTTCCCTGCACCCTCTTGATCTGTTTCATTTACTGTATTTATTACAATGTCTTGTCCTCCTCTGTCTTTCTCTGTTATTGTGCCTTTTCTCTCTCTTGGTTTCATGTATACAAAAGAGAGAGAGAGTAAAAGGGACAAGGAGGGAGAGAAACCGTTATGGAGGAATTTGTACATCACTGACTTTCTACAGTGGTTGACTCTTTAGATGGCAGATGCCACAGCTGCTCTAATAAGAAGATCAGTTGTTAATTTCGTCTGTTGTGTCCATGTTGTACCCTGAGATTCTGTACCTATTATCTTCCTGTCTAGTTACTCTTGTTCTGTTTGTTTTGCATATTCTTCAGGCTTAAAGCACTGTCCCGTTGTAGTTTCTTTCAAACTTGGAGGGGAAGAACACCAGCTAGCTTGACTTGTAGAAGTAGCAATCCAGGCATGTCATTAAATATGTTTTTTAGATGAATGTGAAAACACGTTGTCAGTGATCACTGACCTAACAACTGACAGCACAAGAAATCAGATTTACAGAGGTGGTGATATTTCAGTGTGTAGTTGCAGAATAGAGACATTTCAGATCCAATTCAACAAGCAGGTTTGAAAAGCTAGGACACATATTGCCAAGGACATAGATTAGCCCCAGAATATTGGCACATCTTGGTTTTAGGAATGTATATCCAGCAGTTGGAATCTTGTAAACAGATTCAGAAAGGGTTCTTAATTCCTGTATTTCTACAATACTGTAGGAAATGCTTGTGCTCAAGACCATTACTGACAGATAACAGACCATAGTAACAATCTCTTGTAAGTAGTTTTCCCTGTCTTTTACCTATTCTTTCAATAGGTGGTGAGATCTGCTGAAGAAGCTGCTTCCATGCTGGCCACTTCCATTAGCCCAGATCAGTGCATCAAAGTTCTTTGTCCGATTATCCAAACTGCAGATTACCCCATTAATCTGGCTGCAATCAAAATGCAGACAAAAGTTACAGAAAGAGTATCTAAAGAAACCCTTACTCAGCTTTTACCAGAGATTGTGCCAGGTCTAATACAGGTAAGGAGAGAAGAAACACTGTAAGTATATATAAGAATTGCAAAGACAATATCACTTGGTTCTAATGAGGGATTTTATTTGTCTGATAGCTGATGGCTGCTTTGACCCAAAATAACTCACCTAGTGGGAACAAACTCTTGATTGGCAGGTAGTTAAATTATAACTGCAGTTAGGACTCAAAGGAAATCTTGGTAGGATATAAAGTACTGATTATAGGTAAGCTTGGTAGATACTTTTAATTATAAGATAGGGGTTTTTGTTGTTTGTATCTTTTCCAAGTTGGAATCATTTGGTCTGAAGTTGCCTGTGTTGTACTGTGTATAATTGTAGGCTTTTATCGCTTACAGTTTGTGGGAGGTAAGAGGAAAGAAGCAGTTGATTGGAGAAACTTTAATAAAATCAGAAGGCTATCACAGGTTTCTCTTCCTTTGTCTTTTAAATTCATTCCCACCTTATCAAGAGCCAAGATATATTAATTTTCATGTGATGAATAAAGAGAGCTTGACAGCTGGATTCTGCAGATTTCTGTCTTTAATGGGTATGATCTGATCATACATCTGCAGGAAGGGAGAGGCAGGGAAGGGACCCTCTGAGAAGGGGCTGTGAGACAGGCAGCCAGGCATATGGGGTACTGGCAGAGAGGCAAAGAAGCAAAAATCATTAAGGAACGAGATGGGAATTAACAAGAGAATCTTTACCTGTTAAGAGAATACCTCTTTCAGAGTAAGGAGGCTCTAAACTGAGTGGCCTTCTGCTTTAAGTAAACCAGTATGATCTAGAACAATTTCTCTTATATACTCCCCTGTTGCCTGACAGCAGGCCTGTTTTCAGAGTAACTTATGCACAGGATTGCGTGGGGGTTGATTTCAGTCTGGAAAATGATTATCAATGGTGATTAATAATCAGCCTGCTTTGTAAGTGCATGCTCTGAATTCGCATGTTTGATTTTATGCTGGAATGCCTCATTGGGCTACACTGGCATTAATTTTCTGTAGGCTTCAATGTATTTATCATAGTAAATAAGTAAAGCTTTCCGAGGCTTTTAATCATTAACTGATACGGTATTAATGTTAATTTTATTGCTTTCTAGGGTTATGATAATTCAGAGAGCAGCGTTCGTAAGGCATGTGTTTTCTGCCTTGTAGCCATTCATGCGGTAATTGGCGATGAACTAAAACCACATCTCAGTCAACTCACTGGCAGTAAAGTAAGTAAAAGATACCATTTAGAGAAATCTTGTGTCATAATTCCATGTACGCGTTTGCATTTCGGTTGCAGTTGCCAGGAAGTTTCTTAAAAGTATATACTTGAATGAGTGTATCAGGGCTACAGAGATCTTTTGAGGATGAATATAAATTTGTCATAAAATGCTCAAAACTGAAAATCTATAGATCTTTATGCAAGTTACAAACTTCACCATTAAGATAAATACTAAATTACGTTTCTTACTGCTGTTTAACGGGTTTAGTTACTGGGTATATCACTGGTAGTAGTGATAGTGGCTGTACTCAGCGTGGCTTTTCCTATCAGTATTTCTTGCCTTATTTTTCATGCCAGTTCTGATTGGAAAGCAATAAATGTAATACATAGATTTTACATACAGAAGTTTTATTTATTCTTCTTCCTTATTGTTTTGTTTTCATCAGTCCTTTCAGTACCTCTAATTTGAAAATAATAATAATAATAGTCTGTGTTCTTTTTTTGTTTCAGGGTATTTATGATTTTATTGACATCTCTTACGTGCAGGTTTTGCATGCAAACAGCTGTATATTAATTATATTAATTGTGAATCTCTTTGGGAATAAAAAAGGACGATTTATTTTCTATATCTGTGAAGAAGACAGTGTTATCTTAAATACTCTGTGGCAGTGATTGTGTTGAATGTTGATTCTAGACAGTAGTGGAAGCTGTAGTAAGTACCAGCATTGACAACTCTAGTTAGAGCCCCAAAACCTCAACATTAACTTAGAAGAAAAAAACAACCAAATCTACCTTACTTAAAACAGCATTGTAACCCAAGGAAAACATTTCATCTATCTTAATCTAGCTACCGTAGATCATTCTCTTCTTTACATCCTTAAAGAATCTTGAGCAGTTTCTCCTGTGACACATTCTGCTGCTGCTTGTTTTCATTGACAAGTATGTGACCTTTGAATCAACTGTGTTTTGCTGTTGGAGAAGAGAAGGTGGTTTAACGTCTCCTTTGTTGTACCATTCCTGGAGTCTGTATACTTTGCACATACTAAACAAAGTGAATTTCTGGCTTAAATTTGCAGATGAAATTATTGAACCTTTACATCAAACGTGCACAAACAGGCTCTGGACCAGGGGATGCCACTGCAGATATGGCTGGACAAAGCTAATGAAGCTGACAAGACTCACCCAGGTCTCCTAAAGCAAGGGCACGGCCCTCTGCCATGAAAGGAAAATTCTTACATACAACTTCTGGAACTTTTCTCTTGGGGTTTTTTTTTCTCTTTTTTTTTCTTTTTCTTTTTTTTTCTTTTTTTTTTTTTCTTTAACCAATGGCTGCCCTCAGCCTGCATGTGACTGTTGCAATAGAATTATTCCATTATTCCCAATCCAAGGAAAACCAGTATTAACATCAGTTGATCAAAGCAGAATAAAACCTAAAATAATCTAATCCGTCAGCTATCCTGTTCACAATCCTCCATGTCTTCCCATTAACTTTTGCCAGTGTTATTGTATTAAAAAAAGAGATTTTTTTTTAATGCTAATTAAAAGGTATGGTTTAAGCTTCAGAAGTTAAACTCTAAATTCTGTTGCTTTTATTCAGCTGCAGATAACATTACTTTTTTATTGCTATTTTGGTTGAGTATCATGTCCTTCGCTAGAAACAAGAAGTGATGTGAAACAAGGCTGAACTAGTCTGAACTGCAGTGAGACTCGTTCACTGTGGTGGTGGTTCATCATTATCTACAGCTTGTTTGGGGTATTCTGGAGATTGAGAAATACGCCTATAAAAAAAAAGCTGGATTGATCCAGTTCTGTAAAAGTGATATTGTTCATTGGTTGTATGTTTGTTGCATAAATAAGAATTTAGTGTGCGCAGCAGAGGACTGGTACAACCAGTACCTCTTCCTGTGGGAGACAGCCCTTTCAGGGTAGCAGTGCTGACCTGGTGATAGTGTGGCAGTCTGCTTTGTTGCAGCAGAGTTAATGGTCACTTGATGGACGTGAACCATCCTTGTCACCTTTCGTTCTTCAAGCAGGATGCTTCAGAATGGAGTGCTCTGCCCAAGCATGCTCAGTATGTATTTATCTTTATCACTAGAATGTTTCCTCTCAACCTAATTGCTGGAACAAGTAGTCTTGTATTGTAATTCACATGGGATTTTATGACAACAGTGCAGAAAACTATTTATTCATTACCTTCCTAAAAGCACCGAGATTTTCTGCATTGAATTTAAAGGTGGGGGAGGGAAGGGAATAATCACAACTGCTATGGGCCTTGCCACCTTTTAATTAAAAATATAAATATATATATTTTGGATGAGTTGGGAAAGCTGCACCAAATTATTTGCATGGTTTTCTTGAATAGCATCCTCAAGACCCATCTGGATTGAGGTGTGGAAATGTTTCCAGGGTTTGTTTTTCCATTTTTGAAAGAGAGTTAGTTTATTGTGAATAATGGTTCTTTGTATTTATGAACTTGATAATGGAAAGAGAACAAAGATCAAGTAAATGTGTCCCTAAATGTTGTCTTTTTCTTTTGTTTTTTCCTTTTTTTTTTTTTTGTTTGGTCTTGGATATAAGCAGCAAGCTGATAACTGAGAATTGGGGTGAAACTGCCCTTCCCAGGAATGGGGGAACCTTATTTTTCCCTGATTTCTTTTTCCCTGTGACTGTGATAATGTCTAGTTGTAGGAAGTGTATCCTGATAAGAGAGAAAATAGCGGTGCCAAGGATGATGATCTGTGCTAGGCTGAAATTCTCTCTACCTCTTCAGGGTGACTAATTTTGGACTGAGCTGCTGCAGAGAGCACCCAGTGGGAGAACTATCTACAGAAAATCTTTTTTTTTTTTCTTTCCAAATTATCACTTAATGTGTATTCAAAACTCTATTCTTCAGCATTGCAGCCAAATATCATAAGAAACTCCTTATATACTTTATTTGCTAGGAACTGAAAAGCAAAACTGAGTAACAGATGCTTGTAGTTACATGAAAGGTTGTTTTCACTTTAGTCCGAAGTGAATGCACTAGAAAGAGTTAAGATGTGGTTGTTAAAGAAGCAATGCCATTGCAGAGATTTATCTGGGGGAAAAGTTGTAGGAATATACGTAAAGACTTAAAACCAAAACTGTCCTAACTCGCCACTAGCCCTTTTTAGCAGCTACATCAAGAAAATACTATCTCCTCTTTCTTTCCTTTGTACGTGTAACATCCTTGTTGTTTTCTACTGTTTAATTACATTGTGTATTTATAGTTCTATGCTTACCATTGTGCATATACTGGCAATAAAATGTACATAACATTACTTAAAAAATCAGCAATGTATACACTCTGGTTTTCTGTTTTACTTGATCACATTCTATAAGAAAAAATATAAATGTGATTGATCCAACATTGGTTAAGAAAGAAATTTATCTTCATGTTTTGTGTGTCCAAATAATGTTTCTTTATATATTCCTGTTACTGAATGTGACGTGGCATTTGAGCACATGCTGTGAATTATAGATGTGCTAGCAAAAATGGATTTTGGAAATTGAATAGAGTCTGTATGGACACCCAGTTTCCTTCATTAAGGTAGATTTCTTGTTTCCTGATTCAGTTATTTGTACATTATGCATTGTTAGCATTTTATTTTTTTAATATTTAAAAAGTATTTTTCAGTCTGCAATCTTGTAATTTGCATTTAATTTCACAAAAGGTCACTTTAAAAAAATTGCACAAATTCTAAGCTTAATAGTCCCATATGGTATTCCTGCTTTTTCTACAGGTAGTATTTATTTTAAGAGGATGATTTGAAGATGACTGCTGTTTGTCATCTTTTTGAAGATGCTATTTCATACTGAAACATACACTGTATATTCTGGATGAACCTAATTTTTTAATGTGTGAGCGAAAGCTGGTAAGAAAGAAACGGGTTTTACCCTTGGTATGACTGAAAAATTTTGCTCCAGGTTGGGAGGAGGGAGATATTTACACAAAGTTTGTCCATCAGTTTTGCTTCTAAGCCATCTTCAAAAGGTGTAAGTGTGGATGTCCCATGTATTAAAAATCTAAATGCAGTACATTTACATGAATGTTTTACTTACAGTGTGACTAGTTCTGTTTCCAGCAAGGAGGGGCTGCTGTAGTGGATAGAACCTTTGTATGACATGGATCAGAACGTGATAATTTGCAACAAAATTATTTCCACTGCGGCCAGTTGCCAGATTCTCTGCGTTGCTTTTTGCGATCATTTCCTATATTACAAACAGACATTCGCTAGTTAAATTCAAGCACTGATTAGTCATGCCTTATGTTCCTGCTGGAGGTGGTTTCTCTAATGGATTGGCATAATGATCCAGGAAAAATCAGGACAAGTCCAAGCTGCTGTTCTTTCAGAAAGAGTTTCTTTGTGTTCTAATATTCTGTAAAGAGAGAGGTCATTGTAATTATTTGAATACTGAAGTGTAATTCTTCAAGTTTGGGTTTGGCCTTAAAAAAAGAGGAAGAAGGAAAGCAAGCTCCATGCAGAATCAGGCCAGGAAATGCATATCCTGTATGTGTCAAACTTGGATGTCATTTGCTTTAAAAAACTTTGAGTAACACGTGTTCAGCTGGAATCTTAGCAACGAGCTTGGGATAGTAAATGTAAATTGCAAGGAGAGCTGGTCATGTAAATTCTGAGGTGGGTTCCTTGTATGCTTTTAAAGATAAAGGTTGGAACAGATGGAGTTGTGTTTATTATTTGTGGTCTGAGTCCCAGAGCAAAAAGAACAAACACTTTTATCGTGACACTCACATGTTCTTAGTAATTTCTATGAACACTTAAACTTTTGAGTAAATTCACAAACATCCCTATGTAAAAAAGCCTATTGAGAATGCAGGCCCAAACTGCTCAGTTTTCAGCAGAAGAATTCAAATTCTGATTATGACACTGTTCCTCTGAGAACAATCATAAAGGAGAAAATAATCTCAAGGAATAAATCTGTTGAATTAGGCTACAGTTGCTCCCTGTGATAGACTGGTGAGAAGGGTTGAGCTGGTTGTGGTAATGTCACTGTGTCAGGTTGGAACTTTGCAAACACGAACACAGAACACAATAAACATGAATATGATGGGGATAAAGAGGCAGGTTGGGAACCAGGATTAGCTGGAAAAAGAAACCCCAAGTTTTCTCCCAGTTAAAACAGTAACTGACCAGTTTCGCAGTTGCAGTCGACGTCCAGGTAAAATGAAAGTCAGTTTGTTAAAATGCAGAGGATCTTCAGTAATGTGAGAAGTCTGAGAAACTAACTGTGTTCGTTAGTCTGGCGAGTGAACGAAGTCAAACCTCACTTGCTGCTTTTCTGTGCTACTGTGTGTGTGTTTGTGTATTTCAGTGCGTTTTAAGACCTGAGTGTTCCCGAGCTCTGTGTCTTGGATTATCCCAGTCAAAGAAGTTTAATTTCCTGATAGGATTTTAGGATAAATAAGTGCATTTACTGAGAACTTCCCTACTGAGGAAGTTTGTGAACAGGTAATTTCTGCTGGGACGGGGCTGCAGCTGTGTCTGTACATTGCTGTTTAACAGGAACTCTTGCAAACTTAAAACGGTATTTCACAAGCAGTTTTGAATACTTTATGACTTCTATCAGATACAAAAGTTCTATAATTAGATGTATTTTAGGTAGATGTAAGTGATGCTAATGAAGCATGTTCTGAGGGAGTAAGACTGGAAGAAAACAGACAGCAGTGAGAGATGGAAATATGGGACCTGATGAAATCCATCCACGGGT